ATACCCATAACTGCTTCTAGGAAATGAGCTCTATAGACTGACTCAGAATGGCCACAGTGGTTAGGGTCTGTGTGTTTTAAATACTGTGGTGATTGAAAATTTCTGAGAGACAGTTTCTGGGTAAATTATAATCAGTTTTATTAACAATAGCTAGCAAGTAGTTAGCCAAATGGGCTCATTTGTTCCTCTCAGTGATCAAAGGGAGCTCACCTGTGGAGCCTTCAATACTTATAAAGCCTTTGGAAAAGGGAGGAAATGAGGGTGGAAATCAGCTCTGGTTAACAAGTAATAAGAGAGTGAACATTATAATGAGAGGGGGGCTGATTTGAATGAGGGTCTGGGGGATGTGATTATAATCACTTAGTCTTGGTCAAAGAGGCTTATCTATACCCATCTCACCCCAAATGATAAAATTAGGAATCTACTTTTACCCAGACCTGAATAAAACACAAGGGACCAGAATCTATCAATTCACCTCAACTAAAATTTCCTTACCTTTTGAACAGACCTGAGTTTTCCATTTGGGTTAGTTTCACCCCAGATCTCATCTCTTTATGAGCCCTGTACTTCAAGGGCTGCCTGAATAACCTGCAGGTGCTGATTTTTAAATGAGGAAAAGGAAGACCCTAGTCCTAATTCAATAATTGGCTATTAATGTAAGAGAGAAACAATCATTATTCTCAATACTGGAACTGATAATCAGTTGGAGCCACTTGCAGATTTTCCAGTCTGGGGTAAACAGACCTCAAGTATCTCTGAAGTTTCATGAGTAGATCAGCTAAAAAAAAAAAACCGACTCTGGGGTCCGTAGAATGAATTTGGTGTCAGGGGCTACACTCATGGATATCCATCAGTCATTCTGGCCATCTGGGTCTTTATGTTCTCCCTTTCAATGGGGAGAGGTCCTGTCTAACCAGCCTACACCAGGCCAGGCATTCCCTTTATCAGGAGAGTCAAGGCAGAACAATGCAGATTGGTGTAGTGGAATCAGGACAGAAATTATTAGGTTTGAATTCTCCCTCTAACATTTCCTATGACCCAGGCTGAGTAATTTAGCCTCTCTAACCCTTTGTCTCCTAATCTGTACAATGAGGATAATAGCTGACTCAAATGAGACAGTGGTTGTAAAATTGCTTTATAAACCATGAAGCACTATGTAAATGGCTCTCTTATTAAGCATTTGGGTTTCTGAGCCTCTCAATTTAATGCTGCAGAAAGTACACACAGCTTGGTGACCTTTGTCCTAGTCTTATATGCTTTGAAAGGAGTCTAGGGACAGGGGAATTCCTGTCCCCTTAGGAGCCCCAGCCCTTGCTTTGGAGTGTCCAGGAATGGTCCAAGGCTCAGTAATCACCTGTTCAGCCCGCTGCCTACCTCCCCATTTTAATACATTTTGTGTGTGTGTGTGTGTGTGTGTGTGTGTGTGTGTGTGTGTGTGTTTTGGAGGGGAGAGAGGGGGTTGAGAGGGAGCTGTTGGCCCTAGACAACACAGGACAAAGGAATTTTGGCCAGTTTGACTTTATAGAATGTTTGCCTATGTCCTTCACCAGGAAGGAGGTGAACATAGCTATTCCTAGCCCAAGGCATCTGGAGACCACAGCAGATCATTTCTGTGGTCTGGGCAGGTCCCCAGGTTTCCTTTGGAGGGACAGAAGCCGTCTCTCCTCCATATTGTTCACAGCTACCCAGCAGAGGGCAGAAGCCTTGGGGACAATGTCTAAGTCACTCTGAGGCCCACCACAATAGTCCAGTGCCAGCAGGGGATCGTGATTAATGAGTCTTCAAAGTCCCATTTACTTTCGCATCTTGATTCCTAGGGAAGGAAGTGGGGGGAAGGGAGAAGTTTCCTCAGTGACTCAGACATTCGCATCAGCCTCCAACATTATCCCAGTGACTGATGCAGTAACTCGGCAATACTCGATGAGGGAAAGTAAGAGTTTCCACCATCAAAGGCACTGTGTGCCATTTAGAGCATTAGACCACCATAGGGAAATGTGGCATTGACCTGGGCATGTTATGATGAGATGTTCTGAATCTCCTCTCTCCTCTCTGCTACACTTTAACATGGAGGTGGTGGAGACTATGGTAGGGATAAGAGAGAAGGGAACTGAAGTGTGTGTTTGTGCATTCTTATGTATGTGCAAATGTGTATATTTCTGTGACAGAGTAAAGAGGGGATTCTTGTTCACTCTTGGGTTGGGCTAGACAACCTCTAAGCTCCCTTCCAGCTCTGAGACTATGTGTATGTTTTTGTACATGTGTCATAACGAGAATTCTGGCATGATATAGCATGGCGTAGTGGATGGAGAGTCAGGAAATCCTGGGTTCAAGTCCCACTTCTGACACACACTGGCTATGTGACCCAGTATAAGCAAATCACTTAACCTCTCTACTCTAGGCAACTCTCTGACATCATCAGATGCAGAGGAGCTTCCTCATTAAGGACTTCCCTCTGCCAGTGCAATGGCAGCTGAGCTCCTTCTCCCTATCCCTAGCCCATATGGAATATGTATGTCATGTAATTGGGGGTGAGGAGGAATGGATGGACAGGCTAGCTGAGCAAGTGAATGTTTGAGTTGTAAAAGTATGTCTCACAAGCTTGTCCCAGTAAATTCAACTAGAGAGGAATGAGTAAGAAAGACTTAAAAAGAAGACAGCCTGATGCAGGTATTCCGAGAAGCAGAGAGATCATTTGGGTTGGGGTAGACTGGACAGTATTATGGTAAAGATGGTATGTGACCTAGGCCTGGAAGGATGGATAGGATTTGAATAAGCAGTGTCAGAAGTAGGCCAAGGACAGCGAGAAGCGAGGGCCTAGAAACTGTGGATCCCAGTGGCACTGGAAGTCTGGGACTAGGGCAGTGACCTGGGAGAAAGGCACATAACTGTACTAAAAATTAAAACTAGGAGAAATCCAGGTAGCAGGGCCCAGCCAAGGAAAAACCAGGCACTCAATCAATCAATATATAAACACCTACTCTATTTTATGCAGTGTGTTTAAAAACAGAAATTCAAAACCAAATATAAAACAATTCCTTCCCTCAAGGAACTCGCATTCTGTCAGGACAACACACACATATATAAGTATATACAAAATAAATACAAGGTCATTTGAGGAGGGGAAGGACTAGGAGCTGGGGAGATGAGGGAGGGTCTTCTGCAGAAGCTAATGCTTAAGCAGTCAGGATTTAGGGATTCAAGGCAATAATATTGGAAAAGAAAACAGAGGCAGCTAAGTGGCTTAGTGGCTCCTCGTCCATAAAATGGTGATAAAACAGCACCTACCTCCCAGGCTTGTTGTGAGGATCAAATGAGATAATATGTTCAATCACTAATGTGAAAATATGTTTAATAGGAATGTATGTATGTAGCCTGTATCAGATTGTGTGCTGTCTTGGGGAGGGAGGTGGAGAGGGAGGGGGAGATAAATTCAAAATTCAAAAGCTTATGGAAGTGATTGTTGATAAATCAAAATAAATTAATTTAAAAAAAGATAATATGTTTAAAATGCTTAGTGCAATGGTTGGCACATAGTAGGTACTTCAAAGTGCTTGTTTTTAAAATATTAAGGAATGAAACATCGGAATTTGTGCAATGAATCTTATACACAGTAGGGCTCACAGAATAAGAATGGCGTTCAAATGAATGGAGCTCTCTAGATACCTTGCCAAAAGCAGTTTGAGTCAGGTATAGGAACTGATCTCCCAGTATGGGAGGCATGAGTAGGCAGGGGGAGATGAGTAAGCTAGTTTACCTGGCTGGAATAGAGAAAGAAGGGCAGAGATCAGGGAAATTCCAGGTAGGTGGAGAGGAGGAGGGTGGAGGTAAGGAGCAGAGTCTAGAAGCAGGGCAATAAAGTAGGAGAGGATTTTGAACGTCTGGCTAACCTTATGGATTCTGGACAACTGTGATTAGTGACGCTGACAAGAAGGAGATGGGGTAGGGGGATTGAAAGGAGGATCACAGGATCTGGAAACAGGACCTTAGAAATCTAGTCCAATTGTAGGAGGAAAGAGAAGCTTCTAGAAGTGAATGGCTTGCCCAGTGTTGTATAGGTGGTAAGTCTCTGAGCCGGGCTTTAAGCTGGGATGTCCTAACTCATCCTTTGTTCTTGAAGAGAACCAAGGGTGATGTTTTACTTTCACATGAATTGGATTTAACTGAGGCAGAGCTGGGCAAAGTCATCAGCCTCACTCTCTCCTCCAGAGTCATCAAAGTCCAGTGGCAAGACAAAGGTCAAGACGATTGGTGACAGACTGGTGACAGCTCAGGAGGCAGTGGGTGACCGTGGCCTTTCTAAATTAAGGTCTTTCCCAGGCCTCAGTTTGTCTGAGCTCTGGCAGTTCAAAAACTTAGGGCTAGGTAAGAGTTGAGATAAAGGATGGCCCGATTTACTATCCCAAAGATAATCAGTCTGGGAGGGGAAGACCCCTCAGAGTTTGAGGCCAGAACAGAAAACAATTGCTATTTATTCTAAGCCATCAAAACCTAAACAAGGAGCCACAGAGGCTTGGATTGGGGCTATTATGGGCCATTCAATGAAAGCCAGAGTGATTTGGGTTTAAAGGCATAGTCAAGTAGCTTCATTTGAAACACAATGGGCTTTTTTAAAAGCCTATCTTTTCAGAGCTATATTTCAAGAAATCCAAAATGAAAACTTCCTTGGGACAAAAAAGTAAATAACTAGCAAAGGGGGAAGAACTCTGGGTCTGAAATCTGGGAAAGTGGGTTCGAATCCTGACCCTTCTATCTACCACATGTGTAACTTTGGGCTGCAATCCTCTCTGGGCCTGTTTCTCATCTAGTAAATTAAGGGGGCCAGGTTGACCTAGATGGTCTCTAAGGTGCCTTCCAAGCCTGGTACTCCAAGCCCAGTGCTGGAGGAGAGTTGGGGGAGGGGAGGGGAGATGTGAGCTTGGGGAATGTGTTGGAATTCTGAAGAAGAAAAACCAAATAGTTGTATGAGCCTTTCCTGATTCTGGTTACTTTTATTGCCCTAGGACAACATTTTAGCATGAGTAAGTGTACCCACGAGTGCCCCCCACTGAGCAGAAATATGCCCCAAATACGAAATCGTTTCCTAAAGAGCTACACTTTGACGTCGCCATCCTGCCGAATACAAGCAATCCTGTAAGTACCTCTCATAGCCCTGCCCAACTCAAGGCCTCTGACCTTTCCCTTCCCTCCTAAAGGAGCACCTCTTACCAAGGTAAAAATGGAGTGCCCGAATTGGGGGAGCTCCAAGAACCTCCTAAGCACCAGCTGATTAACCTTTGGGGGCGTCCCTGGTACATCCTCTTTTCCTAGCATGCTTTTCTGTCAGAGCCTTGTGATGATGCCACATTCTCAGACTTCCTGACAACTAACTCCCAAGGCATCGTCATTGTGGGTGAAGCTATAAGTCATCCTCCTGTGGTTAAAAAGGGTATTGGATATGGAATCAGAGGATCTGGGTTCAAATCTTGACTTTGCTGCCTACCATCTATGTGAGCTTGGGCAAATCACTTGTCCTTTATGAACTCATCTTAAAATGGAAGAACTGGTCTAGATGACTTTGATCGGTTTCTGCATGGAGCCATAGGCTGCATGTCTCTAGGGCATGTGCTTGTCAGGGAGAGGATCTGGCCAAAGTCAGAAGGGGCCAAAGTAGTCTCTGGCTACTTACTGGTCTTGGTGTTGGTTATCAGCCACATCCAGCCAGATGCAAACTCTCCTAAGTTTCAACTCTGCTACAGATTTAATAGAGCAGGGCTAAGTCTTGGGGATCCAAAGCCATTTGTTTAGCCCTATATAAGACTCCTGGGAGCTAGCAGTCAAGTGATACAGTCCTCATTCACCAAGAAACTGGACCTTCTCTCCCATCTACTCCCTACTGTTTCTTTTTTAAAAAAACATTTCATTTTTCAATTAGCAAGCATTTATTTTGTCTCCTTCCTACTCCCACTCCTCCCAATTTTAAAAAAGAAAACTCTTGTAACAAATAGACATTGTCAAACAAAACAAAATTCCTACATTGGCCATGTCATATACACACATACATACATATACACATACGTGTATATATACACACATACATGTGTATGTGACGTGTGTGTGTGTGTATGTGTGTGTGTGTGTGTGTGTCCTCACCTTGAATCTATCACCTGTCTATCAAGAAATGTTCCATTTTCTTTTCACTGGAGGTGACTTCTGTAAGGCCTGGGAAAATGCCTTAGAGACCTAGGAAAAAGAAAGGAATTTGAGGGAAAGTTAGACAAACTACATAAAGGTGAGTGTTAAGATCTCTACTGACCTTAGAAGAAACATCTTTGTGTGTCTCACCCTGCCCCCACAATACTGCTTCCCCCTGCTCCTACCAAATTTCTCAAAATCATTTTTTTTCTTGAGGCAGTGGAGGTTAAGTGATTTACCCAGGGTCACACAGCTAGTAAGTATCTGAGGTCACATTTGAACTCAGGTTCTTCCTGATTCCATGGCCAGTGCTCTATCCATGTGCCAACTAGATATCCCCCCAAAGTCACTCTTAAGAAAGAGAAACATGTACCAGCAGAACCCCAGAGGCTAGAAAAGGATAGAATCAATAAAATTTACTAAGCGCTTACTATGTGCAAAGCACCTGGCTAAGTGCTATGGATACAAATAGCAAAGTAAGACAATCTGTTCTCCAGATGCTCACGTTCTCATAGAGGGAGACACTCAAAGAAGTCTCTGTGCCAAGGTCTACAGGCTTGAGTCACAGGGCCTGGAGCTATTCCAGCCCATCCCTGTTTACCGTGCATGCCAACAAACCTCCTGGGACCAAGCCTTCCAGCCGTTGTTCCTTTACATTCCCACCTCCCTCGCCCTTTTTTTTTCCTTTTTAACATCTCAAGTAAATATTTAATAGTTTGAATGAAAATGTTCTATTGTTGGTGCCTCTTCTAAAGTGACAAGGATTGTTTATTCTGGGCCCAAAGCCAGACAGAACAGGTTACTATGTTCATAAATCAAATATAAGCTAGGGATAGAGAGACTAGCTTTAATTGAGATAGAACTCCCAGGTAAGGAAACTACATCCTCTACCAGTACAAGTCAGCACCATTACTGCAACACATAGTCTTTTGTTTTTTTAACTATTTTTTATTTATTTCATTAGCTATTTCCCAATTACACATGAAAAACATTTTTAACAATCGTTTTTAAAATGTTGAGTTCCAATTCTCTCCTTCCCTCCCACCCCTCCCCCCTCCTTGAGAAGGCAAGCAATTTGATTTCAGTTATACATGTGTCATGCAAAACACATTTCCATATTAGCTACATGCAACATATAGTCTTAGAGCAAGGGTTCTTAACACTCTGGGAAGTTATGGCCCTGTTCGGCAGTCTGGGGAAGCCTATGGGCTCCTTCTTACAATCGTGCTCTTTTAAATAACATATATAGGATTATAAAGGAAACCAATTATGTTGAAATAGTTATCAATTTTTTTTTGAAGTTCACATACCCCCAGTTTAAGAACATCTATAAGACTTAGAATGTCTCTCTTAAACCAAGTTGCAGGATTAAAAAAAAAACTATATGAAGTATTTTGGGGATTCATGGGATACTTATTTTATTTTAACTGAATTTTTGTTAAAATGAATACCTTATTAAGTCTCCTGTGGCCACTCCAGGGGTTTGGAGATAGAAGAAAATGATACTCCGGCTTCTCGGAGTAGTAAGTAGTTGTCTCTTTATTAGTTGAGTGCCTGCTGCCCTGTGAGCCCCTGGAAAGCTACCAGTTCTTGGAGATGGGCTTAGGCAACGGGGACAGACTACACCGAGTCATCCACACACTTTCCTTTGGGGCTTCTTATGACCAAGAACCTGCACTTATCATTATGGCTGGAAGAAGTTAAAGGGGCCACCTGTGCCCATGAGTCAAAACTAACTGCCTCTCCATAAGGTCGAAGCCTTGACCTCATAAACATCAGGTTCCAATTATCTGAGCTACTCAAACCTCAACACAACAATTACAATAATAAAAATAAATAATAAAAATTCCTTGCTTTAAGATTTACAAGTTAACAAAACAAAAAACAACAACAACAAAATACCAAACAAGATTCACAAGTATTTTCCTCCCAACAAACCTGCAAGATAAATGCAGCTATTAACCCTATTTTACAGATGGGAAAACAAGTTCAGAGAGGGAAAGTGATTTGCCCAATGTCACATAGCCAGCAAGTCCTTTTTTTGGGACAAGACCTATGATTTCATTAATGTAAGAAAGTCCTGTTGAGGCAACTTCTTGAACCAATGCAGATCAGAAATTTGTCTACAATTAGTTTTGCTGGAGCCCTCTAGGGTTGAGTGAGTGATTTGCCCAGGACCACACAGCCATTTTGTGCCAAAGGCAGGAACTGAACCAAGATTGGCCCTCTCTCTCTCTCTCTCCACTCTACCCTACCGTGATACCTCTCCTTAATGAGTGTTAGAACCAGGAGATGGTCGCAGATCTCCTGACACCAAGTCTAGCACTCTCTCTTTATGCCATGCTGTATAATTTGCAATGAATGTGAGATACCTGTGTTCTAGACCAGGCGGCTTCCTCCAAATGCTGATATCCTGGGAGTCGACATTGACTGTCTTCTTCTCTTTCAGATTCACTACTATAAAGAACAAAATCTTATGTGCTGATCCAAATGAAAAGTGGGTACAAGACGCAATACAGTTTCTGAACAATGCTTCTGCTGCTGCCGCCGCCGCCACTGCTCAAAAACAAGCCCCGGGAAAGGAGAATGTTGGCACATTTGAAAAACTAACAGGAGAGAATGGGCCTCCAACTACCCAGGTCCATGGTGGAGGAAACACAGTTCCAGCTACTATCCTGGTTCCAGAAGCCACCAGCGCCCCTGTCCTAACAACCATCAGTCCTAGCCCAAGCCCTACTCCTGCCTTCCCAGAGGAAGAGGTGGCCTTGGAGACCTCCCCAGGGCAGCCAGCCAATATAGCTAGTTCATCAGTGTCATTCCCTGACCCTCTTCTGGTGGGATCCACCTCATCCATGGTGGGGGGAAATAGTCCAGATCCTCTGCTGGCCTCCCAGGGGACTGAGACTTTCAATATGGAGGCTGATTCTGCAACCATGACTCCAACTCTTGAGAGTTCTGATTCAGGCTCCTTGGCTAAGGGGAAGATGTCTGAGGAGACTCCTGCCATTTCTCACCCTAGGGAGGAGGGTTCGGGAAGGCTGAAGGACCACCCTGAAAATCCCATTATTCATGAGGAGATGAGCACTGTTTTCACTGTCACAAATCCCTTCTCCAGCTTGGCTATAGACAATACAGAACGCCACTCCCCTGCCTCTATCCCTGCCTCAGAAAGCCCCAGGTCAGAGTTGGTTGGGAGAACCAACCTACCTTCCAAGGTGGAAGTGCTTCCCCATGCCACGGCTGACCCCCAAAGGCTAGAAGTCGACATCACAGCCATCCCGGACTCCCCACAGGCAGCAACCCGGAGGCAGGCTTTTGGCCTACTGGCCTTCCTGGGTTTCCTCTTTTGCTTAGGGGTGGCCATGTTTGCCTATCAGAGCCTCCAGAGCTGCCCTCGTAGGATGGCTGGAGAAGTGGTCGAGGGGCTCCGTTATATACCCAGGAGCTGTGGCAGTAACTCTTATGTCCTAGTCCCCGTGTGAACCCGAGTCCCTGTGTGAGCCTTTTCTGTCTGTGTCCAGACGCCGATCTTTGACTGAGTCAGCCACCCCATTGCTGCTCTGGCACCTGCTGGGAGTGCCAGTGGCCTTGCCAAAACCCAAACCTGAGGCAAGAGCCTGGGCTACCCTGGAAACCACCAAAGGGAATTGGAGGGGGGGACACTCCCAGTTCCATTGTAGCAGGCATGTCCCTGCCCTGGAAAGTGCCCTGAAGCTGGAAAATCCCTCATGTGCCGCTGGTCGGTCAGAGGTTCCCCTTGTACTAGGTTCTCTCCTCTGATGAATAACTATTTATTAAATGCCTCCCTCTCTCTCCCCATCCACCTCTCTACCACACATGGGTCCAGCTTGGGGCCCTCGGGTTGGCTGATTTGCTCTCAGATTTTATCATTTCTCTGTACTCCCTTTGCAATCTGTCTCCCATGTCACCCACCCCACCTCCCTGGCTAGCCGAGGTGCTATTCGACTCAGTCACCTGTACAGAAACCAAATGCTCTAGCCGGGTTCTCATTTCTTTGCATGAGGCAAATGTGGTGTTTCCTGAGAGTGGATTGACCCCCCTCAAAGCCAGTGGGACATAGTTGGAAAGGAAAGAAAGATTTTTGTTGAGTCAGGGTTTTTGTTGTTGTCTTGGGGGGGGGGGGTTGTTGTTGATTTTATTTTATTTTATTTGGTCTCTGTCATTGAAATCTCTGCTAGCCCTAGGGGCTGGCTCTACTCCCTACTGAAAGAAGAATTTGGTTATGATTCTGTGAAATGGGAAAGAGGTGAACAGATGCTTCAGCAACCCATGTCTGTTGATCCTTGATTTGAAAGGGCCTCCAAGTATTTTGGAAACAGCCCAATGATCAGAGTGTAGGACACCCACTCCCCTGGCCTATTCAACAGCTCCCAGAAGCCTTCCCCCTCATCCTCACACCCCAACCTTTGCAGTCTCTCTGCTTCTTCTGAGCCTCTTAAACCAATGATGTGGGGAGAGTAGAAAAACTTACAGGTCTGGCATTTGCCACTTGGTCACCGGCTGGGAGGTATCACGTCCTGGGGAAGGAGAAAGAAGTGAAGGGAAGGACCCTACCAAATTTCAGTGCTGCTGGACTAGAACAGGTATACCTTTGGTGGATGCTACCTAATTAACCCAGAGAATTATAGGTCTAGCTTAAAGCCACATTTCATTAGTGGTCTGCCCCAGCTCATTGGTGAAAGATAGCTGACCAGTGACCTAATGAAAGTGATGAAAAGGGGTGTCAAGGATCTGCACTTTTAATTTGTCTCTCAAGGTTGGAGTGATTCCACCTAACTCCCCTCCCTGATTATCATTGTGCCCAAAATCCCTAATCCCTCTCCCGAAATTAGGTTGTTGGAAGAACCAAAAGTATGTGGTTGTATAGTTAGATGGGCAAAGGTCTGAACTAAATGGGTTTTTTGTTTATATTTTTTCCCTGAACGTCCTTTGCCCAGGTAGGGAAAGACAGAGGTAGAGAAGGCCATAGGCAGGAGGCCTCTTTCCAAGACAATAGCTGAGTGATGTCTAAATTTATACACACACATATGTATATATGTAATATATAATATATACATTTCTTAAGCTGACTCTGTCCTGGTCAGTTTACACCATCTGAAAAGTGGGGAGTAGACCCCATGGCCCTCTTTTCATGGTAGTCCCTAATATCAGTTCCATTGAATCTCTTTGCCTGCAGCTCTTACCCTGTGTTTGCCCTCAAGGAAGGTCCTTGGTCCTCCCCTACTTGGGCTTCAGAGGCTGTCAATATACCCTAAGGCTGGAGGCAAAGCTCCCCTACTTTGAACACAATTTGATTCTTAGAAGATGAAACATGCAAGTCTTAACTTTGATTTGGAGTAGTCTCCATAGTTCTGGGACCACTGACCAACCCTAGCTGATCTGCCTGGTCTTAGCCTCATGAAAGAAAGTCTTCCAGGGAAAAAACAAGTAGGAAAGATGGCAGACTTGTTTGGGGAAGGGGATGGCAAAGGAGGATTAGAAGCCATTTTGAATGAATTTACTACAGATTCTCTGGAAGCAACTGAACCTGGGAAGTGAGTTTTCCTGCCCTGTTAGGGGGTGAGGGGGAGTTGGGAGTAGTAGAAGAAGGAGATTCCAAGGGCAGCTAATCCCCACCCTGGGGACCATCGACACACAACCACCCCTGACCAACAGACAGTGGATAAAGATGCTGTCCATTCCAGAGGGATGAAGCACTGGACAGGCATTGGCTCCTCTCCTCTCCTCACTCATTGCCAGTGTCTGTAATATTTTGTATTTTAGTAAGAAAAAGAAGCATTAAAAGTCCTGTGAAACAAATTTTGGTATATATGTATATATATATATTTATTTTGGCAAAAGTCCCAGAGAATAATCTACCTCACTACCCCACCCCTGCTGTTCATTTTAGGAGAAGAGGAGCAGGGAGATGCTAATATCCTGGATAAAGGAGAAGACTTCTCACAATGACACAGACCTCTCTTACCACTTGCCTTCTTACCTTAGCTCTGCTTTTAGCTTGCTATCTGACCTAGCAAATATCCCTTCTCCTCTCTGGATCTTCGTTTCTGTCTCTGAAAAATGGAAGAGGTATTCTCTAAGGTCCTTCTAGCTCTAATCAACTCACTCTCTGGTCTTTCACTTGAAAAAGTTTTTTATTGCTCTATTTTTGTTTTTAGGTCCCTTTTGATTCCTACTGTATCCTTCTCCACTCCCCCCTTTCAGAGAGTCATTCCTTATAAAAACATCATCATCATAATAATAATAGGAAAAAAAGGCTAGTTCAGCCAAACTAACCCACGTATTGGAAAAAGTCTGACATATGCAGCAGTCCATCTCCATATCCCCCCACCTCTAAAAAGCTGATGGAGGTGCCTTCTAATATCTCTTCTTTGAGATGGAGCTTGGCCATTATAATTTTGCAATATTCAGTTTTAATTTCTCCCTCAGATTTTACTAATTGCTAATTATTTTTTTTTTAATCCCTTCCCTGCATATTAAGGAGAGAGATGCCAAGCTGGGAGCAGAGATTAGCTCCAGAAAGTGACTGCCTTGCTTTCCACTACTTTTGCATAATCTACTAGATACAGACCAGAGGCCCAAGAGCAATTAATCCCCTGTTACTGAGGTGAGGCAGCAGCAGGTGAGGCCCCTTCAGTGAGTTTAGAGGTTTTAGGTGAAATGGGTGCTATGTAGAAATGCAGGACCTGATAAAGTTTTCTTAGCTCACTTGCAACTGTAACAGGCATTCATTCCATTTGCAACTTCCTTCCTGACCCCTGGGGCTATCATTTCCTGGTTTGTGTCTCTTGTCAGCTTCCTCCTCTCCAAGCCTTGTAGAGACTATTTGGGCAGTAGCTACAATGAATATCCTATCCTGCACTTCTCTGTACATCCCCAGAAGGTAGAGTCCAGAGAAACTATTCATAAATTCAGGCAGATACAATTAAAGGGAATTTCTAGCTTGGACTAAATTATGTAAGCCATGAGCAAACCCTCTCTACTTGGGTCTTTCCAAAACTGGCCAAGCGATGTACTTTTAGAACAGAGCCTCCTTTCCTTCCTCCAACAAACTGGGATTTCAGTCTCATGCTTTCCCAGATAAATAATGACACACAGCTGCAGAGACTCATGAAAAGAGCAACCGAGTCATGCAAACCCATCTTGGCAGGATCTAACCCTGGCAAGCTATACCAGCCTTCAGTAGCCAGAGCAGAGAGGCAGCAGGCCTTTTTAACTCCTTCCAGTGAAACCTCAATAATCTCAGCTAGTTGACAGGAGGCTAGTGTGAATCAATGAGAAGTCTGAATTAAAGAACATTTGCAAAGAAAATCTGAGTCCAAGAAATCCAGAAAGTCTGAGGTCACGTTAACATTAAGGAAGGGAAACATTAGCAAGTAGTGTTGCCTGCGTAAGCAGGTAAGACTCATTTGGCAGTAGCACCTTGTTGTTATGCAAAGGTAAACTGCTAAAGTGCTTCAAAATTTTTCCTTTAAAGTAGCATAAACATTTCCCCTGTACTGTTGTTTATACGATTCATAGAATCATAGCATTGGAAAGGATCTCAAAAAACATCTAATCCGATACCTGTCCAAGAGTCCATTTTATGACATTCCCAACAAGTGATTATCTAGTCTTTGCTTGAAGACTAAGATTTAGTTAAGCTTTAGGGGAGGCAATGTGGCATAGTTGATAGAGAGCTGACCTTAGCTAGGAGAAGACATGAATTCTGCTTCTGCCTCTGACACATACAGGCTGTAGGACCCTGTAGGACAGATTACCTCATTTCTCAATACTCAAGGACAATGGTGTCAAATAGATTTCTCCAGAATGTATACTGACTTAGAAAACCACAAAGTAACATTACTTGTGTTGTATTGTATTTGTATTTACTTTGTTAATCATTTCCTAATTACATCTTAATCTGGTTCTGTGTACCAGGGAAGTTTGTGGGACACCGTGAGTTGGATAACTCTGCTCTTGGCAACTCCAAGACTATAAATTCTTTTATTTTTTTTAAATTTTATTAATTTATTTTGATTTATGAACAATCACTTCCATATGCTTTTGAGTTGAAAATTTTTCTCCCCCTTCCTACCCCCCACCTTCCCCAAGATGGCGCACAATCTGATATAGGCTTTACATTTGTATACCCATGAAACATATTTTCACATTAGTGAAGTTGTAAGTAAAAATTAAAACCAATAGGAGGAACCATCAGAAAGATGAAACAAAACTCAACAGAAGGTAAAAATAAGTGATAGTGATTTGACTTCCATAGTTCTTTCTTTGGATGTGGACAACATTTTCCATCCCAAGGCCTCTGGAGATGTCTTAGATCCTTGTAATGCTGAGAAGGGTTCAGTTTAACAATATTAGTCATCACATAACGTGGCTGTTATTGTGTACAAAGTCCTCTTGGTTCTGCTCACTTCACTCGGCATCAGACCATATAAGTCTTTCCAGGTTTTTCTGAAGCAAGACTATAAATTCTTGAGAGAAGGTACTATCCTGAATTGGTAGAGGGACTTTCCTCACCCAGGATCTCCCCAAACCAATGAATCTCAGGCCTAGAACCTAGCCTAGTTTTTAGGAAGTTTTTCCTTATATCGAGCCCAAATTGACTTCCACATAAATTCCACTCATTTCTCCTACTTCTGTCCTCTAGGGCCAACCAGAAGAAGTCTAATTATAGCCCTTCTTATGCTTGAGGCCAGCTATCATGTACCAAGTCCTTAAATAAACTAAATTCATAAGTGGAAGAATAAAACATGTGTAATTGAGAGAACAGGGTAGCAAACCTGCCCCCCCCCCCACCAGGAAAGTGGAAGGAAAAATTCTTGTACTTTTAGGAGAAAAGGGAGAGGGGGTCTTATTAAGTAGCAGGGCCTGGCCATGAGATGCCAGCCGATCTCGGAAATCTCAGCAAGGAAAACCAGTCCATTCTGGCTGTTTTGCCTTTCATGCCATGAATCCCAACGGAAGGGGGCAAGGACATTAGGAGCGAGTTCCAGCTCAAGCTAGGTTCCTTTACAAGGTAAGATCTTAGGGCAGGGACTTAGGGTGTGGTTCAGCTCAACCTAATGGAGAGCAAATATCTTAAGAGTAGGGATGCCAGAACTTTACTAGAATTCTAGCATTACTAGGATTTTTAAGACAAGTGGCAGGCGATAGGTCACATGTCATCCCTAAATCTTCTCTTCTCTACTATAAACACTCTCAACTCCTTCAGCCAGTCCCTGGATGGCATGGCTTTGAAGCTCTCACCATCTAGGTCACTATTATCTGGATGGCTCCATGTTGTGATTTGGTTTCTCCATAGAAAGCAGAAAGGTCAAATTCAGCTCACCTCTTCACTAGATTACTGGGAATTCTCAGTTAGAGGGCTCTGAATTAACAAGGGTACTATCTAACTGTGTTAGATATCCCGATATCAAATGATTTGGAGGTGGTAGTGATCTGTTCAACAGGCAAGCAAATAAATAAGCTAATACATCCTATGACCTCTGTTGGCTGATTATCCCAGTAGCCACTGGGACTTTGTCAGTGCAGCTATATATGGTTCCATGTCATTTTGTGTGCCATGATTTGTGTTTAGGTGATTAAGCAGGGCAGAGATTATAATTCCTATTTTCCAGGTGAGGAAACTGAGGTCCAGGGTGGGGAAAGCACTTTTTCACATGGTTAGTTAATTATGTCCAAAATCCAGGTCTCCTGACAAGAAGACAGCAATTTTTCCACTGTGCCATACTTTAAGGGAACATCTGATCCCTTCCCAGGGTGCTATGATCTGTGATCAGGTCTGGGAAGTGATAACAATGAGAAATATTATAGATTAAGAGTTGTAAATGACCACAGAGATCATCTGTTTCAAACCCCTCATTTTACAGATGAGGAAACTAAATCTCAGAGCACTGAAAACACTTGCCCAAAGGCATACAAGTAGTAAATGATTTGAACCTGGGTCCTTTGACTTAAAAGTCAGTGCTGTTTCCACTATAATACTGCATACTACATCCTGAGGGAGAAAAGGGATTGGGATGGCACTGAATGAAAAGGGATAAGGTAGAATGGAATAAGAAAAGATAGAATGGGATGGTTTGGCATCAGAAGAACAGGATGGGATGATATGGGAGAATCTGAGCAATTTAAT